CACACACACACAAACACACACACACACACAACAAACCTCGTAATAATTTCAAACCAAGACAGTTTTTTAAATGGGAAAATTTAAACATTTAACCAACTTTCGTCTACATTATTGTTGTAACATTTTAAAATATTTTGTACACACCCCCTAAAAATCAACAACAACGATAAAAACAACAACAACAACAACCCAACCTCCCACCCAAAAAACCCCAACAAAAAACAACCAACAACAACAAAACCCACAACCATCCTCACATTCTTTGAAAAAGAAAAATCTCTCATTTCCAATCCATCGGCCAAGTGCATCATTGAATTACGCGGCTAGGGGCTCTGTTGACGGGATCAAGGTTGCAGGAGCCCCCAATTATCCACACACGCAAAACCAAACACGCATACGTCCACATACAAACATACACACACACAAACACACACATAGAAACCCCCCCCCACACACACACACACAGTCCAAACCTCTTAATAATTCCAAACAGAGACATATTTTGAAAACGGGAAAACTTCCAATTTCTTTCAACCAACTTTTGTTAATTTTTTTCACATTCTTTATTTTTAAAAATAAGATCTGTTGATTTCTTTTGGTTTCTACATAATGAACGGTGTTGGCTTCAATAAACTTTCCTTTTTTAACTTTACAAAACAAACCACCAAAAAAAAAAAAGGAAAAACAAAACGAAAACCACCTGGGGCGTACTCCAAAATTCGGGCCACTAGGAGAAAGAGATGCGGACATTTCTCAGGGCCGACCTCGGATATCATTTGGTCTGTTGTTGCTAGAGGCCGCCGACGGCAGCGACATCTGGTTAGCTTCACGTACCCTCACGTCACACGTCATACGGCTTCTCTTCCCTCGTCCGAAAAAAACCGAAGGAGACACTTTGCTCACTCGTACACGCACGCACGCACGCATGCACGCACACACACACACACACACACACACACACACACACACACACACACAAACACACACACACACACACACATATATATACACGAGCGCACCCACACACACCAACCATACCTCGTAATAATTTCGAACCAAGACAGTTTTTAAAAGATATAAAAAGTGAAATATTTAATTCAACCAACTTTCGCCCATCTTTTGTAACATTTGCTCAAATCTTTAGACAAAAAACAAGCAAAAGACCCCTGAAGTCACATGGCTTCTCTCTCCTGACGCAAAAAAGGAAGGAGACACTTCAAGGTTTCCTCTGCGTCACGCGGGGGATGGGGGGACTTTGGAGAGGGAACAGTGTGTCGAGTGTCGGTGGAGACATATTTTGAAAACGAGAAAACTTCCAATTTCTTTCAACCAACTTTTGGTAATTTTTTTCACATTCTTTTCCCAAAAAAAAAAAAATCAAGATCTGTTCATTTCTTTTGGTTTCTACCTTAGCGTACAAGTTTCTTGTGCGCTAAGGTTTCTACATAATGAACGGCGTTGGTTTCAATTAACCCAGTTGGTAGTGTGTTGGACTTCTGTGCTGTGCCGTGCAGTTCGCCTTTGTTCGAATACAGACAGTTTGTATTGTCTGTATCTTTATACGGTGTATTAATTTGTCGGATGCAATCTTTAGATCCTCTGTCTGTTTCTGTCTCTCTCTCTTCACCATCTTCTCAAGGTCTCTTTTCTTAACCCCCCCCCCCCC